AGAACTGAACTAGAACTGAACTAGAACTGAACTAGAACTGAACTAGAACTGAACTAGAACTGAACTAGAACTGAACTAGAACGACTAGAACTGAACTAGACTGACTAGAACTAAACTAGAACTGAACTAGAACTGAACTAGAACTGAACTAGAACTGAACTAGAACTGAACTAGAACTGAACTAGAACTATATGTCTATCATATAGAAAAAGGGCCTGTCTAAATGAATCAGTGTCTAAGATTTTGAGTCGGAAATATTTTACATTGAATCCCTCTTCTCATTATTATGAATGACAGTAAAGTTTGTGTCTTAAGTCTTTTCTTGTCAAACATCCGTTAAGCTTTAATACCCCCAATGTTGTCATCAACATGTTGCTGAAAATTTGAAATGTTTCTAAACTCAAAAGATAATTTTAAACTGTACATGACTTATGATGATCAACCAAGCAGTTAAATGTTTATTTTTTATAGAAAACATATTTCATAAATGCCTAAATATACAAAAGAAAAAAAAAAAACAAATTTCAAACATCAAACCATCCAAGCAGTTAATCACTGCAGAATCTTTTTTAACCAACAATTAAGACATCATCAAAACGAAAACTAAGTACTCGTAAAATTGTTTTAAAGTTGATCTATAAAATTGCTCAAAAAGCTCATAAAATGTTATTTAATTTTAAATAATAAATAGGTCACATAAGAGAATACAAATGATTTTGTCAAGATAACAAAATTTGAAGTGGTTTGCAGTAATAAAATAATAGTGAAGTCAGTTACACTTACTATAAGTAATATTTTGAAAAATTATTATTTTTTTTTTACATTTTTGCCTTGTTAATAAATAGAGCATTAATATGATCTATAAACAAAATTATACTAATTTTTTTATATATGCTAATTTCTTTTCAAATAAAATGAAATATTTACTTAAATTTTCTCTGTCATTTGAAACTATTTGCTGCGTTTACTACCGGAACAATTAGATTGATCCACAGCAACAATTGGTATACTTCACTTAAATACAATTTTATATGAGTTTTTTTTTAATTTAGTAAATCTTGACCTTGATATACATACTAGATTCACATATTTTTTTGGGTTTGATTTTAATTAACACGTCTATGCTGTTTATTTAATGGTTTTAGTATAAATTTTTGTAATTAAATTATGTACTTAATCTTATTTATTTACATTTAAATAGTTTTATATACTTACAAATGTTTTAGATCATTTCAAATAATTTGTTAAGATTGTTTCCTTTAAAACAAAGATTACAGTTTATCATTTGGGTGAGACTATAAAAAATCGTTCATTTAAAACAGCACGTGCTTAATCTAGTTTACTTTAAAAATAATAGAAGTGAATTGTAGAGCGATAAATATTTTTTGTATAACTATTTTTGATAAATAATTACGGAATCCAATAAAGACCGATTTGAATGCAAGTAGAACTTTTACAACAAAAGGCTTAAGACATAAATAAATTTTACTTTCAATCACAGTAGTGGAAGCAGGGGTTGCATGGAAAAAGACTTAAGACACAAACATTGTTGCTTTATTTATTTAAAAGACTTAAGGTACAAACACGATTTCAAAGCAAAACAATCAGTTCTAGTTCAGTTATAGATCAGTTCTAGTTCAGTTCTAGTTCAGTTCTAGTTCAGTTCTAGTTCAGTTTAGTTCAGTTCTAGTTCAGTTCTAGTTCAGTTCTAGTTCAGTTCTAGTTCAGTTCTAGTTCAGTTCTAGTTCAGTTCTAGTTCAGTTCTAGTTCAGTTCTAGTTCAGTTCTAGTTCAGTTCTAGTTCAGTTCTAGTTCAGTAGTTCAGTTCTAGTTCAGTTCTAGTTCAGTTCTAGTTCAGTTCTAGTTCAGTTCTAGTTCAGTTCTAGTTCAGTTCTAGTTCAGTTCTAGTTCAGTTCTAGTTCAGTTCTAGTTCAGTTCTAGTTCAGTTCTAGTTCAGTTCTAGTTCAGTTCTAGTTCAGTTCTAGTTCAGTTCTAGTTCAGTTCTAGTTCTAGTTCAGTTCTAGTTCAGTTCTAGTTCAGTTCTAGTTCAGTTCTAGTTCAGTTCTAGTTCAGTTCTAGTTCAGTTCTAGTTCAGTTCTAGTTCAGTTCTAGTTCAGTTCTGTAGTTCTAGTTCAGTTCTAGTTCAGTTCTAGTTCAGTTCTAGTTCAGTTCTAGTTCAGTTCTAGTTCAGTTCTAGTTCAGTTCTAGTTCAGTTCTAGTTCAGTTCTAGTTCAGTTCTAGTTTCAGTTCTAGTTCAGTTCTAGTTCAGTTCTAGTTCAGTTCTAGTTCAGTTCTAGTTCAGTTCTAGTTCAGTTCTAGTTCAGTTCTAGTTCAGTTCTAGTTCAGTTCTAGTTCAGTTCTAGTTCAGTTCTAGTCAGTTCTAGTTCAGTTCTAGTTCAGTTCTAGTTCAGTTCTAGTTCAGTTCTAGTTCAGTTCTAGTTCAGTTCTAGTTCAGTTCTAGTTCAGTTCTAGTTCAGTTCTAGTTCTAGTCAGTTCTAGTTCAGTTCTAGTTCAGTTCTAGTTCAGTTCTAGTTCAGTTCTAGTTCAGTTCTAGTTCAGTTCTAGTTCAGTTCTAGTTCAGTTCTAGTTCAGTTCTAGTTCAGTTCTAGTTCAGTTCTAGTTCAGTTCTAGTTCAGTTCTAGTTCAGTTCTAGTTCAGTTCTAGTTCAGTTCTAGTTCAGTTCTAGTTCAGTTCTAGTTCAGTTCTAGTTCAGTTCTAGTTCAGTTCTAGTTCAGTTCTAGTTCAGTTCTAGTTCAGTTCTAGTTCAGTTCTAGTTCAGTTCTAGTTCAGTTCTAGTTCAGTTCTAGTTCAGTTCTAGTTCAGTTCTAGTTCAGTTCTAGTTCAGTTTAGTTCAGATCTAGTTCAGTTCTAGTTCAGTTCTAGTTCAGTTCTAGTTCAGTTCTAGTTCAATTCTGGTTCAGTTCTAGTTCAGTTCTAGTTCAGTTCTAGTTCAGTTCTAGTTCAGTTCTAGTTCAGTTCTGGTTCAGTTCTGGTTCAGTTCTGGTTCAGTTCTAGTTCAGTTCTAGTTCAGTTCTAGTTCAGTTCTAGTTCAGTTCTAGTTCAGTTCTAGTTCAGTTCTATTTCAGTTCTATTTCAGTTCTAGTTCAGTTCTAGTTCAGTTCTAGTTCAGTTCTAGTTCAGTTCTAGTTCTAGTTCAGTTCTAGTTCAGTTCTAGTTCAGTTCTAGTTCAGTTCTAGTTCAGTTCTAGTTCAGTTCTAGTTCAGTTCTAGTTCAGTTCTAGTTCAGTTCTAGTTCAGTTCTAGTTCAGTTCTAGTTCAGTTCTAGTTCAGTTCTAGTTCAGTTCTAGTTCATTTCTAGTTCAGTTCTAGTTCAGTTCTAGTTCAGTTCTAGTTCAGTTCTAGTTCAGTTCTACTTCAGTTCTAGTTCAGTTCTAGTTCAGTTCTAGTTCAGTTCTAGTTCAGTTCTAGTTCAGTTCTAGTTCAGTTCTAGTTCAGTTCTAGTTCAGTTCTAGTTCAGTTCTAGTTCAGTTCTAGTTCAGTTCTAGTTCAGTTCTAGTTCAATTCGGTCAGTCAACAAACTATAGACTGGTCAACAATATGGACTGGTATATAGTCAAGACTGATCTATAGTTAAGATCAAGTCTATGGACTTGACTATATACTAATGTATAGTCCGGAGTATACATATTCGGATCTACAAACCTGATTACCGACTAATCTGTAGTGTGAATGAATATAGACTTACCTATAGTTAATGTTCGTCAAGATTTATATATTAATATCAACAGATTAAAATATTGTTTAGATTTATTGCATACATATTTCAATATTTAGTTTTAAAGTATTTAAAAACTAATAAATTTTATTAAAGATATTTTAAATTTTGAATGCCCACAATAATGCAGCACGTGAAGTGTTTAACTTTTCGAAACTGGATTTGTTTTTTATGAATAATATTTCACCACAAATTATTTAATTTTTTATAACTGGTGTGGCATTTAGTTAACACATGTAATAAACAAATATTTATTTTGAAAGCTTAAACAGTAGTTTTAAAGATGTTGACTGATGTTTGAGTAGAGTGGACATAAACATTTGGAAATATGTATATGAAATATGAAACCTGTTAACGGTTGTTTTAAAGGTAGCGAATAGGTAGCAGGTAAATTGTTTTAAATATGTTTTTATATTATAATAAAAATTAGTTAATATGAAATTATAAATGTAATACAAATGATTTACACATGTTTATTACAAACAGTGGCACACAAAAGTGAAGAAAGGGGATTTAAAATTAATTAATGTTAATTGTTTTTTTCTCATTTTTGTTACCACTAACATACTTTATAACAATTTTGTTATATGTATTAACAAAAATGTAATTTCCTTGATTCTAACTCAATGCATTCATTCATTGTTCGTTCATTGGCATGTTCAGTGAATGATGTTTAGTTTTATTTTTCCATACAGTCATGACATTTTAATTGATTCACTCAATTTCTATAAAATTGAAAATCATTTATATTTCCTTAATTTTTCAAATACATATTAATTATCTGCCGTGATTTTGTTTATTTAAATTAAAGTTTAATTTAATTGGAATTTTCTCCGATTATTTCTAAAAAAGAGGCGCAGTTAATATCTGAAACTAATACATTGTAAAGGTGTGCAAAGAAAGTGGTATGAAATTATTAAAATTAATTTCCTAATACATAATTATAAATAAATAAAAAATAAATTACGTGCTTAGCAAAGAAAATAATACTTTATTTATAACAATATAAATGCATATTTAAATATTATTATTTAAATAATTTAGACATCAATATGTCCTCGCTGTCAATTCTTGTCATTGAGTTAATATTTATCCCACCACAAAAACAACTTGCTTTTGGCATTAGAGTTGTATTTTTATTGACAGTTTTGAAAACTTTTCTATCTCCACTACATGCATATACTTAATTATTAAAATAATTTCTTACCTTTAATTAATGTTTATTTTCAATCAAAATCTTTAACTTACGTATGTTTTATTTTTCAGTGTTTGATGCCTCTGTCCGTAGTCCTGCTGGCATTGAGAGTGGAATTCTGTATCATTTCGGTCATTATGACCAATGTTTACATACACATAATTTCAAATCTCATTCGGAAGATTCAGCTTACTATGATGTACCCGTTCAAGCTAAATACTGTTTGGTCGATGTAAAAATCGAAGGTCTAACGCCTTTGCAGTCTGGATCACGTGAGAAGCAGGTATGTTTGAAAATATTACAGACTAAATACTAGACTATAATCCATACTTTAGACGATAATATAAACTGGTCTATAGTCCAAACTATTGACTATAGTATGGAATAAAGTCCAGACCCTAGTACGAAATATAGCCTAGACTAGACAAAGACAAAGAACAAACTATAGTTCATACTTTAGACTAGGTTATAATCCAGACTAATCTCCAGACAAGACACTAGGTTATAGTTCAGACTACAAATTATACTATAATTCATACTAAAGATAAGACTTTAGACCAGACTAGACACTAGACTATAACTAAACTGGACTGTAGTCCAGATTATAGACTAGACAATAGTCCAGGCTAGATTTTGGGTTATAGTTTTTAATCTTGACTATAGACCAGACTAATGCCCAGACTATAGACTAAATTACAGTCCTAAGTATAGACTAGATTACAGTCTAGACTGCAGACTAAACTGCAATCAAGACTATAGAATATGCTTTAGTCGGGACTATACTCTGGACTATATAATATAATATGGACTGAAATTCCGACTACAGTCCAGGCCATAGAAAGATTTTGGGTTATAGTTTTTAATCCTGACTATAAACTAGACTAAGGCCCAGACTATAGACTAAATTACAGTCCTAAGTATAGACTAGTTTACAGTCTAGACTGCAGACTAAACTGCAATCAAGACTATATAATATACTTTAGTCGGGAAAAGGCCATAGAAAGTACTATTGTGCAGACTTTAGACTAAACTATAGTTCGAACTATACTCTGAACTACAGAGTATAGTATGTAGACTTCAGTCCCGACTATGGACTAGAATATTGTACAGATTGTAGACTAGACTAAAATTCAGACTAGACACTATGCTACAATCTAGTCTGTAAACTTGACAGTAGTCCAGACTATAAACCAGACTATAATCCAGGCTAGACTCTAAACTATAGTTCAGACTATAACCTAAATATGTATATATATATCTGTCAAATCTTAAAATTATGTGTTAAAGTTTCTAAAATCGCAAATCCAAAAGCAACACGTTTTTGCGATTTACTTAAAATTGAAGAGAACATCATTATTATACGACTAATAATTAGTTTTGAGTCGCAATATCTTTTCACAGCATCTAAATGTAGAATAATAAAACTGATAAATTGCAAAAAAAAAAAAAACTTAATAAAGTTGAAACAGCCTTAAAAATTATAGAAAAAATTTTGCAGAATTATAATTCAACACATTTCAGCAAATAGTCATGATTGTCTGAGTAATAAAAATATAATAAAAAAATGCAGATTCATCTTTAAAACCAGACCATTTTTCACAAATCATAGAATTTTTTTTTATAAATATTCGTCACTAAAGTGCCTTTTTTATTACTATTTATTTTGAATTTCCTATAATTATCTTATTAGATAAAAAAAAGTAATTTTGGAAAAACACTTGAACAAGTAGTATCAAATCGACACTACTAAGTATTCAAATTTATATTGGGCGTGTAATTATTAATAGTAAGTTGATTCCCACTAAAAAACTCATTTTAACGTTACATAATTTTTATGAATTATTGACAAAATTATAAAATAATAAACGCAAATGTGCAAAGAACTATAAATGTTTATGAGTGACTATTATTTAAAAAAAGTAGTAATTAGTAAATAATTTATAATTATTCAGCAGAGCTGTAAGACTTCAAGTTAATAATACTACTTCTAAAAGTTTTGAAATTATTCGGAATTTTACTGCCTGAAGGAACTGTAGACTATATAAGACTTTAGTGCAAACTATAGTCCAAATTATAGACTAAATTATTGACTCGAATATAGCCTAGACTATAGTATATAGACCAGATTGTCTATAGTCATACTATAGTCTAGACTATAATCTAGGCTACAAACTAGACTGTAGATTAGACTATAGACCAGACTATAGACTAGACTATAAACCATACTATAGTCCAGACTATAGTCCAGACTATAAACCAGACTATAGTCCAGATATAAACTAGACTATAGACTAGACTATAGACTAGACTATAGACTAGACTATAGACTAGACTATAGACTAGACTATAGACTAGACTATAGACTAGACTATAGACTAGACTATAGACTAGACTATAGACTAGACTATAGACTAGACTATAGACTAGACTATAGACTAGACTATAGACTAGACTATAGACTAGACTATAGACTAGACTATAGACTAGACTATAGACTAGACTATAGACTAGACTATAGACTAGACTATAGACTAGACTATAGACTAGACTATAGACTAGACTATAGACTAGACTATAGACTAGACTATAGACTAGACTATAGACTAGACTATAGACTAGACTATAGACTAGACTATAGACTAGACTATAGACTAGACTATAGACTAGACTATAGACTAGACTATAGACTAGACTATAGACTAGACTATAGACTAGACTATAGACTAGACTATAGACTAGACTATAGACTAGACTATAGACTAGACTATAGACTAGACTATAGACTAGACTATAGACTAGACTAGACTAGACTAGACATAGACTATAGACTAGACTATAGACTAGACTATAGACTAGACTATAGACTAGACTATAGACTAGACTATAGACTAGACTATAGACTAGACTATAGACTAGACTATAGACTAGACTATAGACTAGACTATAGACTAGACTATAGACTCCAGACTGTAGATTAGACTATAGTCCAGACTATAGATTAGACTATAGTCCAGACTATAGATTAGACTATAGTCCAGACTATAGATTAGACTATAGTCCAGACTATAGATTAGACTATAGTCCAGACTATAGATTAGACTATAGTCCATATTATAGATTAGACTATAGACTATAGATTAGACTATAATCCACATTACAGATTAGACTATAATCCAGACTGTAGATTAGACTATAGATTAGACTATAGTACATACTATAGATCTATATCCGGACTATAGATTAGATTAGAATATAATCCAGACTGTAGATTAGACTATAGTCCAAACTATAGATTAGACTATAGTCCAGACTATAGATTAGACTATAGTCCAGACTATAGATTAGACTATAGTCCAGACTATAGATTAGACTATAGTCCAGACTATAGATTAGACTATAGTCCAGACTATAGATTAGACTATAGTCCAGACTATAGATTAGACTATAGTCCAGACTATAGATTAGACTATAGATTAGACTATAGTCCAGACTATAGATTAGACTATAGGCCAGACTATAGATTAGACTATAGTCCAGACTATAGACTAGACTTTATCCCAGAATATAGATTAGACTATAGATTGAACTACAGTTCAGACTATAGATTAAACTATTTTCCAGCCTATAGATTATACTATAGTTCAGACTATAAATTAGACTATAGTCTAGTCTATAGATTATACTATAGTCCAGATTATAGATTAGACTATAGTCCAGACAATAAATTAGACTATAGTCCATACTATAGATTATACTATAGTCCAGACTATAGATTAGACTATAGTCCAGACTATAGATTAGACTATAATCCAGACTATAGATTACACTATAGTCCAGACTATAGATTAGACTATAGTCCAGATTATAGTCCAGACTATAGTCCATATTATAGATTAGACTATAGTCCAGATTATAGATTAGACTATAATCCACATTACAGATTAGACTATAATCCAGACTGTAGATTAGACTATAGTCCATACTATAGAATATACTATAGTCCGGACTATAGATTAGACTATAGTACAGACTATATATTAGACTATAGCTCAGTCTACAGATTAGACTTTAGTCCAGTCTATAGATTAGACTATAGTCTATACTATAGATTAGACTTTAGTCCAGACTATAGATTAGACTATAGTCCAGATTATAGATTAGACTATAGTCCAGACTATAGATTAGACTATAGTCCAGATTATAGGTTAGACTTTAGTGTAGACTATATATTATACTATAGTCCAGACTATAGATTAGACTATAGTCCATACTAAAGATTATACTATAGTCCAGATTATAGATTAGACTATAGTGTATACTACATATTATACTATAGCCCAGACTATAGATTAGACTCAAAGTATCATAGTAAAACAAATTTATTTCACAATGATTCGATTCCTTTAGATTCTGTTTAGGGTGGAATTATAAAAAAAATGAAAAATGAAAAAAATGAAGAAGATTAATTAGTAAACAATAGCTGTAAGCGAGTCTAATTTAGAAAAATAAACTTTCATTAAGAATTCTTTAAAGAAATTATAAAATCAAATACTTAATTATTATAATAAAATAATAATGAAGTAAAAATTTACTATATTTATAAGTTAATATGCAAGTGTCTTAAAAAATGAAATTATTTTTAGTATTTTAAATAAAAAAAAACTTTATTAAGTAGACAAGGTTGGCTTTTATTTACTTTATAAATAAAAGTTAATATATAAACAAATGTAAATATGTAAATGTATGCATTTTAGCTTTAAACTGTTTTAAAAATGTCCAACTAAAACAAATGCTTAAAGCATGTAAATGACTCTATTACACACATCTTGCAAATTTTATTTTAATAATAATAAAAACAAATTTAATTCACACTCGTATTTTTATTTATCCCAACCCCTCCGCCTGCCAACTACTCACTGACTTTGGTCATCAAGCCATTGGAATTGACAACCCATTGGGGCGTATGTATACCAGCCGCATGTCGTGCTAATGATGTTGCAATTTATTTGCAACATACATTGCAACGCAATGTGACGGTCAACGACAAAATGTGCCAATATAGAGGCGGACATGAGCTGCATATCAGTGAAGGCATGTTTATTTATGCGTAAGTACAAACTGTATTTCTGTTTTATTTTTTTTTAATTAATTTCTTGATTTTTCGATATTATCATTTTTGGTTTGATATTGGCCAATAAGTGTTTTCTGTTGACAAATACTTCTTGTATATTTGGTGTAATTGTGTAATAATTATTTTATTGTTAATTTATTGTCTGTTTTGTGTTTTTTTTTTTCTTTTTGTATTTTCAGTTTGTTTATTTTGTTCTTTTTATTCTTGGCCATATTGAGTACATTGTATCACATCTATTTGATAAGTTCGAAACGCAATGAGGAAAATATTGCAAAAACTTTGGCACGTAATAAAATTTTAAATATCGCTTTGTTATCATTTTCAATAATTGGTAAGAATTCTTAATGGTTTTTAAAATATTTTTTTCAAATCAAATGCATACACAGATTATGGTTTATTTTAAGTTTAAAGGTAATTTTAATAAATTTATTTTTTTACATTCTTTTGAAAACTATTCTACATTTTAAAAAAAGTTTTAATAAAATCGTTTTTTTTAGAAAAATATTTAATTTTAAATTATTTTAATTATGAATAGAATCGGAATAATTTGTCTAATCAAGTATTGTTCAGAATCTGAAAATTTTTTCAAATAAAAAGTTTTTCAGAAACTGAACAATGTTTCCAAAAAATTGGTTAATTTGTCTAGTAAAAGATTTTCAGATTCTAATTAATTTTCCTAATAAGAAGATGTTCAGATTCTGATCAACTTTTCTAGTAAAAACTTGTTCAGATTCTGATCGTCATTTCTAGTAAAAAGTTCTTCAGATTCTCATCAATATTTCTAGTAAAAAATTGTTCAGGTTCTAATTGGAGCGCACAACAGGCCCGATAGTGGCCTAGGTGTATTTCTTCGGATTTGATGTAGTATACATCCTCCTATCAACCTAACCTAACCTAACCTGTTCAGGTTCTGATCAATTTTTCTAGTAAAAAGTTGCTCAGATTCTAATCAACTTTTCTAGTAAAAAGTTGTTTAAATTCTAATGAACTTTTCTTGTAAAAAGGTGTACAGATTCTGATCAACTTTTCTAGTAAAAAGTTGTCTAGATTCTTATCAACTTTTTTAGTAAAAGGTTGTCTAGATTCTGATCAACTTTTTTAGTAAAAAGTTGTTCCGATTCTAATCTACTTTTCTTTTAAAAATGTGTTCAGATACTGATCACATTTTCTAGTAAAAAGTTGTTCAGATTCAACTTTTTACTAGAAAATAGTTGTTCAGATTCTGATCATCATTTCTAGTAAAAAGTTGTTCAGATTCTGATCAACATTTCTAGTAAAAAGTTGTTCCGATTCTGATCAACTTTTTAGTAAAAAGTTGTTCAGATTTTGATCAACTTTTCTAATAAAAAGTTGTTCAGATTCTGATCAACTTTTCTAGTAAAAAGTTGTTCAGATGCTGATCAAATTTTCTAGTAAAAAGTTGTTCCGATTCTGATCAACTATTCTAGTAAAAAGTTGTTCAGATTCTGATCAACTTTTCTAGTAAAAAGTTGTTCAGATTCTGATCAAATTTTCTAGTAAAAAGTTCTTCAGATTCTGATCAACTTTTCTAGTAAAAAGGTATTCAGATTCTGATCAACTTTTCTAGTAAAAAGGTGTTCAGATTCTGATCAACTTTCTTAGTAAAAAGTTGTTCAGATTCTGATCAACTTTTCTAGTAAAAAGTTGTTCAGATTCTAATCAACTTTTCTATTAAAAAGTTATTCAGATTCTAATCAACTTTTCTGGTAAAAAGTTGTTTAGATTCTGATCAACATTTCTAGTTCAGATCAACTTTTCTAGTTCAGATTCTGATCAACTTTTCTAGTCAAAAGGTGTTCAGATTTTGATCATCTTTTCTAATCAAATGTTGTTCAGACGCTGATCAAATTTTCTAGTAAAAAGTTGTTCAGATTCTGATCAGATTTCTAGTTCAGATTCTGATCAACTTTTCTAGTCAAAAGGTATTCAAATTTTGATCAACTTTTCTAATAAAAAGTTGTTCAGATTTGATAAACTTTTCTAATAAAAAGTTGTTCAGATTCTGATCAACTTTTCTAGTAAAAAGTTGTTCAGATGCTGATCAAATTTCCTAGTAAAAAGTTGTTCAGATTCTGATCAACTTTTGTAGTAAAAAGTTGTTCAGATTCTGATCAACTATTCTAGTAAAAAGTTGTTACGATTCTGATCAACTATTCTAGTAAAAAGTTGTTCAGATTCTAATCAACTTTTCTAGTAAAAAGTTGTTCAGATTCTGATCAACTTTTCTAGTAAAAAGGTATTCAGATTCTGATCAACTTTTCTAGTAAAAAGGTATTCAGATTCTGATCAACTTTTCTAGTAAAAAGGTGTTCAGATTCTGATCAACTTTCTTAGTAAAAAGTTGTTCAGATTCTGATCAACTTTTCTAGTAAAAAGTAGTTCAGATTCTAATCAACTTTTCTATTAAAAAGTTATTCAGATTCTAATCAACTTTTCTGGTAAAAAGTTGTTCAGATTCTGATAAAATTTTCTAGTAAAAAGTTGTTCAAATCAACTTTTTAGTTCCGACCAACTTTTACTACCAAAAAATTTTACAAAAATTGATTATTGTTTCTCATAAATTATTATCTAATAAGTTTTAGAATTATTTAAATATTAGTTGTTAATTGAAATATTCAGATTATATACTTTGAAAACCAAAACAATATGTGTAAAATATACGTAATTTATTTACATGAATAAATTCCATTACATTATTTATATTTTATAATTATTTACTCGTATAGATTATTTAATAAATTATTTAATAAAACTATCATGGAATTTTCCATTTACATATTTGTTTTCTTCTAGAAAATATAAAAAAGCTTTTTCAAGCCAGCAAAGATCAATTGGGTTTGAATTCTATTAATGGCATTAAAGCATTGGCCATGTTATTTATCTTGGCTGGTCATGTTTTGTCGTTCATCTACGGCCGTCCAGTCTACAATCAGGAATTCATAGACGAGGTAAGTAGTAAATGAAACATTACATTGCATATTTGCAATATCTACTTGTAGGTATATGTATTATTTACACTAAACTTACAACTAATATAATACAGAGTTTATTTAACAACTAATAAATACTAGAGTGTAATGTAGTCAAATACTTGAATTTCCATTTAGAATTACAAATTAAACTTGTTTTTATTTTTGTTTGTAAACAAAAAAGAAAATTTCGCAATGTTGTTGTTTTTCTAAAACGACAGTTAGTCTTATGGTATTATAAAATTGTTTATATTTCTGGTTTAGTTTAGCTCTAATGAATTTTGCTTTTTTTTTCTCGTTTTCTCTTATTTATAGAATATAAAATCACCTCTGTTTGGTTTTTTGAGCAACTCTCTGTTATTTGTTGACGTTTTCCTTCTATTGAGTGGTTTCTTGTTTTGTCGTATTCTTCTTATTGAATTGGAAAGACGCAAGGGGAAATTAAATGTTTTGATTCTGTATGTTGGCCGTTATATACGTTTGACACCTGCTTATTTGGCCATTATTGGCTTTTATATCACTTGGTTTCCCAGCATTGGCAGTGGGCCGTTGTGGCAGCAGCGCATTGAGAGGGAGCAGGAACGTTGTCAGTTGTCGTGGTGGTCAAATATATTGTATATAAATAATTATATTGGTTCAGGAAAGTTGGTAAGTGATTAATATTTACAAATCTGCTTTTCAGAATCGAATAAACTTTTTTATAAAAGAGTTCTTCAGTTTCAGATCAACTTTTCTATAGAAAAGTTCTTCAATTTCTGATCAACTTTTCTATAGAAAAGTTCTTCAGTTTCTTATCAACTTTTCTATAGAAAAGTTCTTCAGCTTCTGATCAAGTTTTCCATATAATAGTTCTTCAGTTTCTGATCAACTTTTCTATAGAAAAGTTTTTCAGTTTGTGATCAGTTTCTGAAAAGTTTTTCAGTTTCTGATCAACTTTTCTATAGAAAAGTTCTTCAGTTTCTTATCAACTTTTCTATGGAAAAGTTCTTCAGATTCTGATCAAATTTTCCATATAATAGTTTTTCAGTTTCTGATCAACTTTTCTATAGAAAAGTTTTTCAGTTTGTGACCAGTTTCTAATCAATTTTTCTTCAGGTTCTGAAAAACTTTTCTACAGAAAACTTCATCAGATTATGATTATGATCATCAGAAAAGTTCTTCAGATTCTGATCAACTTTTCCATAGAAAAGTTTAACATATTCTAATCAACTTTTCTACAGAAAAGCTCCTAGAAGTCTGATCAACTATTCTATAGAAAAGTTTTTCAGGATTTGATCAGATTCTGATCAACTTTTCCATAAGTTCTTCTAATTTTGAACAACATTATTATAGAAAAATTTTTCCGAATCTGATCATCTTTTCTACTGAAAAGTTGTTCAGATTCTAATCAAATCAAAATCTCTTGCATTATACAACAAATAACCATTTTTTTTATGTAGTGCATGTTTCAATCCTGGTACTTATCGGTGGACTCACAACTTTTCTTTATGGCTCCAATTGTTATATATCTTTTGAATAAGTCACGCAAACATGGTCTAAATTTATTGTTAATCTTAGTGGCGGTTACAGCGGTCATACCATTTATAGTTACATATCTAAATAATTTAGATCCAACTTTAATGATATATCCAAGGTAAAATCGTAAATAAATTCTAATTGAACATAGTGTATTGTATCTATTATAAATGAAATTCCAGTGAAGTTACCGATTTAGCTAGTAATGTTTACTATAGCACTACCTACATTAAGACACACATGAGAGCTTCGGCCTATGTCATAGGAATATTAACTGGTTACCTAGTACATCTGATGCAAGCAAAAAGGTAATGTTATACTATTGTTTAAATAAATTCATATGAAATCGGTTATATTTTATATACATTTTTTTTCTTTTTAGAACAAAATTACCGAAATGGTTTGTACGTTGTTTTTGGTTATTTTCCATTTTCATTGGTGTTGCCTCTATGTTTTCCGTTACACGTTTTTATGTGACTGCCTATAATAATTTGGAAAGTACCATGTATGCTGGTTTTCATAAATTGGGTTGGAATGTAGCTGTTGCTTGGCTTGTACTATCGGTTACAACGGGTCATGCTTCCCGATTGCAAAAGTTTTTAAGTAGTCGCGCGTTTGCTCCTATATCACGTTTAACATATTGTGCTTACCTTTCCAACGGTATAGTCGAATTGTATTATTCGTCTAGTGTAAAGGTGCCGAGTTTTATGGGTTATTTACATTTGGTAAGTTAAGAAATCAATTTTGTTTTGCTTTTATTATATTTATCTGATTTATTACAATTTAAACCCCTTCCATCATATTAAACAGATATGAATTTAACATATTTTCACACTTTCCAAGAGTATTTTACACCTTTATCATCACTATAATGTCATAAATCTACATTCATATATAGTTTCATGAAATATTTTTTTTATATTCCTAATTGACCTTCAAAATTTCTTCACATTTCATCATTTAATTAAAATACAAAATTTATTACAGTGTTAAACTGTTAAAATACTTTAATCTACCACCAATACCATCTTCTTCTTCTTCTTTCTAGTCTACTGACATTTTTGGTCATATCTTGGATACATTTTTAATTGCTTTAATTTTATGTTTATTGTTCGAATCGCCTATACACGCTTTGGAACGCATATTAATGGGCAGTTTCCGTAAGACTACGAATACATCTACCAAAAATAATTCGAATAATATTAATAATAATGATAATCAAACACCTAGTACTTCAGAAGAACAAGCAGCTTAATTTCTAAGATATTAGGTATATATTTTCTTTTTTTAGTTACAAAGAAAATCTCATATTGTGATAATTATTTTCAGAATAGTTATATATTAATTTCTATGTTTATTCATTTCACTATTTTATTTAACACTTGCCCTTTTATTATAATTTATAATCACACTTCACACTATCATCCTTTTTATGAAAAAAGTTTGGGTTTTACGTCACCCTTATTTTATTCCCATTATTTTCTAAACATTTTCATTCTCTTACTGTTTTATTGTTTCATCCTAAGTCTTCTTTTTACATCAATAAGTTACTTAGAATCCTATCAACATTTCAAGTAAAAAATTGCTCAGAATCCGATCAACTTTTTCTTCTTAGGGCTAATCTTTAGGTGAAAGATTAGCGATTAAATTAAAATTAATCCTCGAAAGATGTTTTTGAGTACTCAATTAGTTAATTTTGTTTGCAAGTTTAAGCGCCCAATGGAGGTGGTTTAATCTTAAGCACGAAATGCAAAAGTGTAAACAGCTGATGCAAAAAAATTAATAAAATTTTTATAAATATAAACATTAAAATATTCTATTTATTGATTAGTATAAATTATGGACACTTCAAAATACATTTTTTTTTGTTTTTAATTTAAGTTTTCATTAATTTTCATATTAAATTTACAATTGTCTTCTTCTTTTTTATAAAATATGCATTGTTTTGATAACAAACAGTGAAGTATTCTGTTGTTTTGTATGGCAACACTGCGAAGTTTAATCTTGTACTCAAAAACATCAAAGGGGATTAACATAAGATTAAATTTATTTTTAGATTAACTAATCTGATTATTAATTGGCATTTTTGATTACCATCTCAAAAACCCGCTCTAAGAGTCTGCTTATCTTTTCTAGAAAAAAGTTGCCCAGTGTCTGATTAACTTGGCTAGTAAAAAGTTGCTCAGTATCTGATCAACTATTCTAGCAAAAAATTGTTCGGTATCCTATCAACTTTTCTAGTAAAAAGTTGCTCAGTATCTGATCATTTATTCTAGTAAAAGTTGCTCATTGTCTGAACAACTTTTCTAGTAAAAAGTCATTCAGATTCTGATCAACTTTTCTAGTAGTTAGTTCGTTAGTTTGAAAGGAGGATGTATATATGTACATGCATCAAATCTGAAGAAATACACCTAGGCTCCTTAACCAGTGCCTCAGGTGGGAATCGAACCCACCACCTCCGGTCTACCAGACTAGACCACAACTTTTCTAGTAAATAGTTGATCAGTGTTTGACCAGCTTTTCTAGTAAAAAGTGGTACAATGTCTGATCAACTTTTTTACTAGCAAGTTGCATAGAGTCGAATCAACATTTCTAGAAAAAAGTTGCTCAGAGTCGGATTAACATTTCTAGTAAAAAGTTGATCAGAGTCCTATCAACACTTCTAGTAAAAAGTTGCTTAGTGAATTATCATCTTTTGTAATAAAAAGTTGCTCAGAGTCGGATCAATATCTCTAGTAAAAAGTTACTCTATGTCTTGATCAACTTTTACAGTAAAAGTTGCTCTTAGAGACTGAAGAACTTTTCTAGTAAAAAAATGACCAGAGAATCTGAACAATTAAATATTTAACTGAACAGTGTTTCCTATTGATAAAATCTTTATCCATTTGCAATTATTCAGAATTTTCTATTCTTAAAAATTAGATTAACTTTTCCAAAGAATACATTTTTTGTTTCTGAACAAATTGTCTAAAAAAAATTTATCAGAATCTGAAAAAGTTGCTCAGGGAATTATCATCTTTTGTAGAAAAAAGATGCTCAGAGTTGGATCAATATTTCTGGTAAAAAGTTACTCAGTGTCTTGATCAACTTTTCTCTCAGAGTCTGAAGAACTTTTCTAGTAAAAAAAATGGCCAGAGAATCTGAACAATTAAATATTAAACTGAACAATGTTTCCTATTGACAAAATCTTTATCCATTTGCAATTATTCAGAATTTGAGCAATTTTTTCTGTTGAAAAGTTCTTCAGAAACTGAGCATACTTTTCTATTCTTAAAAATTAGATTAACTTTTCCAAAGAATACATTTTTTGTTTCTGAACAAATTGTCTAAAAAAATTTATCAGAATCTGAAAAAGTTTTCTACACAAAAGTACTTCACTATCTCATCCTTACAGTTGATCGGAATTTGATCAAATTTTTCATTGTTTACATTTTGCACTCATCACTTATTATTTAACTTAAGCAGAATCGAAACATGTCAAAAAATAGTAATAAGTTTAATTTTAAATAAGCGTTTTATAGAATGAGTTCGGAAAACAAATGGGGCTGAAATCTGCTTAATTTTTAAGGAGTTTTTTTCAAACATTATTTGTAATCTATTAATTTTTAAACATTATGTATATAATTATAATTCTACGCGATTTATTTTTAAGTAAGGTTTTTGGAACGAAACTGAACAAATTTTGATTTAAAACGTAAATATTTGTAAGGTTTCTTGTTGAAATGTGTAAATTTTTGTAAAATAAAAGAATAATTAAAAAAAAATTAAATATATGTTGAAAAATCAAACTAAATAAGAGTTTTTTCGCCAAATATTTGATAGTTCAAGATTAACCACATTTTGTCGAAATAATAATAATAATAATCTGTTACCAACATTTTTATATGAATTTTGATTATTTAAAAACGATTTATTTATTTAATATCCTCTAAATTTAAATCATACAGAATCATCTGAAATATATGTATATATAGCCACAAAAAAGGAATGAAAGAAACATATATTTACCTGGAGGTTAGTATAAATTTTGTTCGTATTAGTACAGGAAAGAAAGGTCAGTCCATATAAAGGGGATGTCTTTTACTTTTCGTTAATGGCAGGGGGAAAAGGGTAACCAAAAAAAAAAAAAAACTTAATCATCCGATAAAGGTCTTCGACGACGTCTATAGGGTAGAGAATCCTCTTCAGTCGGTTTTTTCTCTACTGGAGGAGGTGTTGGTGGTGGAGGCGTTTCAGGACGCTTTTTTACTTCTTCGGCCTCGCTAATTTCTTCTTCTTCCTCATCTTCCCCCACCTCTACTTCTTCCACTTCTACTTCTTCCTCCTCTTTAATGGTTGTATTTGTTTCTTTTGCCGGCATTTCTAAAGAACTGCGTCGTCTTAGCAAATATTTATGTTCTTCCTCCTCAGGATCTGAACCCCAAATGGTGTCGGGTGGTTCAGGAGTGTCACTTGTAACATGTTCACTGGGTTCTTCGGAGGCCTCTGAGGGATCAGCACCCGAAATGGGTTCCATTTCTTCGGAATCATGGTGAGAGCGTTCTATAAAAATGCGATTAACCAGCAAACGACGTATATTTTGTGAAGGTATATCGATAAGGAATGAAACTATAATGGTGCCCACAAATATTTGAAATATTTCCTGTACATTGATCTGCAGAAAAAGAGAAAAAAATCAGTTTATTATAAAAACATCATGTCAGAATACCCACCAAATTACTAATATGAAACTTATCCGATTCCTTAATTCCAGCCGTATTATATAAAACCACTATATACATTACCAATTGCATGGGAAACACTAAACGTGATATAACCAATATTGGTCTCGATGATAGTAAAAATCTTATAATGGAATTTTCACTTTTCGGAAACATAAAAATAAACCAACATAAACTCAGACCAAATACCAAAGGACACCACGAAGCATAAGAGGCAGCATCTGAGGAATTGTAAATGAAATCTGTACGCATTCCCGCTGATGGTGACCACAAACACCACGAAATACCAAGACAAGCTAAAATCCAACCAAATGGTATCATCTCTGGTGTCAGATCAATAACACCTTGATTGGTTCGTTGAAAAATGCCAGCACCTATGCCCAAAAGATAAGTGGTAGCACGACTAATGGGCGATGAATACAATATATTGGCAGTGCGATAAAATTTGCTGACACTACAAGAGGAGTTATTGTTAAATACAAACTTCATTAGTTTATTGTTTAATTATAATTACAATTTAACTTACTTTATGCCATGAAATAATGTCATGGATAAATGTTCTTTATTAGTTCGTGAAAATCTTGCGGCCACAGACATAGCATGTAATGCTCCATATACAAAGAAACCAGCATCAGAGTCGGTGTAAAACAACCATACTATGAGAGGTCCCAAAATATAGAGTTGTACCTCTAAGGCCAGTTGTATGGTGGAGGGTGAGCACTTTAAATACAAGAGAAATTTTGTGATCCAATTCTTATTCATTAAAAATTTCTTCGAACAAAAATTGGTCAGAATCTGAACAACTTTTCTAGTAAAAAGTTGGCCAGAATCTGAACAACGTTTTTAGTAAAAAGTTGGTCTGATTCTGAACAACTTTTCTAGTAAAAATTTGGTCAGAATCAAAACCACTTTTCTAGTAAAAAGTTGGCCAGAATCTGAACAACTTTTCTAGTAAAAAGTTGGTCAGATTCTGAACAACTTTTCCAGTAAAAAGTTGGTCAGATTCTGAACAACTTTTCTAGTAAAAAGTTGGTCAGATTCTGAACAACTTTTCTAGTAAAAAGTTGGTGATTCTGAACAACTTTTCTAGTAAAAACTTGGTCAGATTCTGAACAACTTTTCTAGTAAAAAGTTGGCCAGATTCTGAACAACTTTTCTAGTAAAAAGTTGGTCAGATTCTGAACAACTTTTCTAGTAAAAAGTTGGTCAGATTCTGAACAACTTTTCTAGTAAAAAGTTGGTCAGATTCTGAACAACTTTTCTAGTAAAAAGTTGGTCAGATTCTGAACAACTTTTCTAGTAAAAAGTTGGTCAGATTCTGAACAACTTTTCTAGTAAAAAGTTGGTCAGATTCTGAACAACTTTTCTAGTAAAAAGTTGGTCAGATTCTGAACAACTTTTCTAGTAAAAAGTTGGTCAGATTCTGAACAACTTTTCTAGTAAAAAGTTGGTCAGATTCTGAACAACTTTTCTAGTAAAAAGTTGGTCAGATTCTGAACAACTTTTCTAGTAAAAAGTTGGTCAGATTCTGAACAACTTTTCTAGTAAAAGGTTGGTCAGATTCTGAAGAACTTTTCTAGTAAAAGGTTGGTCAGATTCTGAACAACTTTTCTAGTAAAAGGTTGGTCAGAATCTGAACAACTTTTCTAGTAAAAAGTTGGCCAGAATCTAAACGACTTTTCTAGTAAAAACTTGGTCAGAATCTAAACAACTTTTCTAGTAAAAAGTTGGTTAAAATCTGAACAACTTTTCTAGTAAAAAGTTGGTTAGAATCTGAACAACTTTTCTAGTAAAAAGTTGTTCAGAATCTGAACAACTTTACCAGTAAAAAGTGGGTTAGAATCTGAACAACTTTTCTAGTAAAAAGTTGGCCAGAATCTAAACGACGTTTCTAGTAAAAAGTGGGTTAGAATCTGAACAACTTTCTAGTAAAGAGTTGGTCAGAATGTGAATAACATTTCTAGTAAAATCAATTAATCAATCTGATCATCTTTTCTAGTACAAAGTTGATCAGATTGATGATCAACTTTTCTAGCAAAAAGTTGGTCAGATTGATGATCAACATTTCTAGTAAAAAGTTGGCCTAAAAAGTATCATTTCTAATAAAAATTTGTTATCTAAATACTTACCGTCTCTTCAAAATCGATGGCATTCTGTAAACTCAATAAATTACGCCACCACTGATCGTCACATAAACGTGAATTTTGTCCCACAATATTGGTCCACAAAGGACCCGAATTCAAATAAGGTAAAATCCAAGTTTGAAAGCAAATTAATAAATAAACTGTAGGTAGATATCTGCAAATAATTCCCAAAATAAAAATGTTTAATTAGGCAACCTATTTTACGTATTACATCAGTAATACCCACCGACTAAGTTTCGAACCCAAACGTTTTAACAAATGTATATAAGATTTTTGTTCCATTTCCTCAGACAGCTGATAGGCCGACAAGAATCCACTTATTAATAGCAAAATGTCAGCATAAATCATGGGTGAACGAATCAAAACACTCAAGGGATGGTCTAGTGTACGCACGAGTTGATCACGATTTATTATTGGCATATGGCCAATCATTAAGAATTTCAAACACAAATACAACATAAAAGTGGCGGCAATTTTAAGCACGTGAAAGACAGGAAATTGTACATCATAAGTGTCGGGTGATAATAAGATGCTAAAGGTGCGTTGGGGAGAAAACGATTTGAAAATTTCTAAAGCCAATTGATTAAGAGATAGATTTTCTGCAAGTAGATCAAATAAATACAATGCAAATATATAAACAAAAGTTTATTATTAATAATTTGTTATTTTTTTTTTGTTTAAGACCACCTGTTGAATCTTCTGCACATTCTTCTGTTTCATTTTCTTTCGGGGATTCTTCTGCTTCTGGGTTTTCAGCTGCTGTAGTTTCTTCCGATTCTACTTCTGCTTCTTGTTCAGCTTCGGTTTCTTCTTTTCTCTCCTCTTTTCCTTCAGCTGTTTCTGCTGCTGCTTCTTCCGTCTTCTTTTCTAGTTTTTTCTTAATTGTTTCTATTAAATTTTTCATAATTTTTACAATTTTGTCCAAAATTGGTTTTATTAAACCCCAATGTTCCCACATTAAACTAGCTATAGCCAATAAAATCAAACCCGATATATATAAACTGTAAAAGAATATAGTTTTTTCTAAAATCCGTTAAAATTAAACTTATTTTCAAAATGCAACTTACAAGGTAGCGCAAAACTTTTTATCTTTCTTCATTAGTTTTATAAACTTTTTACTATGTTTCACATAACAATCGTTATCATTGACTTCGACATGAAATTCTATGCCCGACGAGTTATACGCTTGTAGACTGGACTGCAGCATATCTTGAACCACTTGACCGGAACAGCCACTGGGTACACAAACACCCCAATTAGCTACACCATAGCGGGGTATAAAATGACTAGGCTGTAATAAATTTATTAAGAAATATTTAATTAAGATAATTTATCTTCAATTTTAATGTATTTTAACTCACATTTCCCAAATGACTATTAAATAATCCCCTTCCATGCATCATGTGTACGGGTACTTTAAGTTCTGCTATGCCCGCTTGTGTTTCAATATGAGCCAAACAATATTTGCCTCGTATACGGACCTGTTGGGAAGCACTTACTTTCACTATCGTTTTAATACCAGTACACACACCAAAGTCACCAAATTGATTAATGTTGCCTCGCAATAAGCCAGTGCCAACCTTACCAGTAGAGTCCAACACTAAATTATATAGAACATTTTTCGTAAAAAGTTGTTCAAGTAAAAAACTGATCAGATTTTGAACTTATTTTCTAATAAAGAAGTGATTAGAATCCAATCAACTTCTTTAGTAAAGAGTTGACAACTTTTCTTGTAACAAGTTGCGAGTCTGAACATTTCTAGTCAAAAGTTGCTTAGAGTCTGAACAACTTTTCTAGCAAACGGTTGATCAGAGTCTGAACAACTTTTCTAGCAAAACTTTTCAAGTAAAAAGTTGCTCAAAGTCTTATCAACCTTTTTCCAAAAAAAGGTTTGATCTGTTTCTAGTAAAGTTGCTGTGAGTCTGATCAATTTTTATATTAAAAAGTTGCTGAGAGTCTGATCAACATTTCTATTAAAAAAGTTACCCATAATTTGAACAACATTTCTAGTAAAAAGTTGCTCACAATCTGAACAACATTTCTAGTAAAAATTTGCTCACAATCTGAACAACTTTTCTAGTAAAAAGTTGCTCACAATCTGAACAACTTTTCTAGTAAAAAGTTGCTGACAATCTGAACAACTTTTCTAGTAAAAAGTTGCTCACAATCTGAACAACTTTTCTAGTAAAAAGTTGCTCACAATCTGAACAACTTTTCTAGTAAAAAGTTGCTCACAATCTGAACAACTTTTCTAGTAAAAACTTGCTCACAATCTGAACAACTTTTCTAGTAAAATGTTGCTCACAATCTGAACAACTTTTCTAACTAAAAGTTGCTCACAATCTGAACAACTTTTGTAGTAAAAAGTTGCTCACAATCTCAACAAGTTTTGTAGTAAAAAGTTGCTCAGAGTCAGATCAACATTTTTAGTAAAAATTTGCTCAAAATCAGATCAACTTTTTTCAGTAAAAACTCGGTTAAACTTTTAATCATTCATGTAACTTACTTTGTAATGTCCACACTTTGTGGCCTCTCAATTGTCTTTGAAATATTTGCAATTGCTGGCGGCACTCTGTCTCTGAAACTTCAGAAGGTTTCATGACAAAATTCGGCAGCGAACGTAGGAGAGTATCAAAACTTTCTTGGCTCATAGCCTCTTCTAAACTGCCATCATCACCAGCACTGCCACCACCAGCACTAGTATCGGAACGTTTTTTCGACGATTTAGTTGCAGAAGATTTTGGCATACTAATCGGTTTAGGTGGTTTTCCTATGGGAAAAAGACTATTAAAGGGCCAACGATTGAAATAGTCAAGCCAATTTTCACCGCTACTCTCAGCCGCAGAAACATTTTCTTCTTCGGATTCAGTAGGAGTTGCCCTTAAGCGGCCAGTTCTTTCTCCCAACCACATTATCCAATCAATAATGCCATTCGATTTAGTAGTTTCCTCTTTGGACTCAGAATGTTCTCGACTTTCTTTGGAACTTTTTTTACTTTTAACATTTTCACCTGCCTCATCACTACTACCACCACCACCGAAGAGTCCGCCAAAAATGTTACCAAAAAATGATGTAGAAGACTCTTTGCTTGTCTTTTCCTCAGAGAGTCTAGTACTTGTTATTTTTTTCTCTGCTTTGCGAGCCCTTTTAAATTGAAATTCTTCCTCTTCGTCATCGTTGTTTTCACTATTCAGCGAGGCAGCACGATCACGTTGTGAATCATTCTCCTCTTCGTCGTCTTCATCACCGTTTTGATCGTCAGCCCTTTCGTTGGTGGCATTGTCATCGATCTCTTCTCCTGCTAGATTCTCATTAGTGTCATCATTTACATCCTCCACATCACCATCTTCCGCCTCTTCATCCTCCACTTCAACACGTTCTATTTTATGAAATTTGAATTTCTTTTGTAGAGTATGTTTCTTGCTGATCTTTCGCAGATTGGCTGAGGCATCCGCAGACACATCCTTGACCTTACTATCATCTCCACCACCACCCCAACCAAACGAGAGTTCTTGAGAAGGTGGCAAAAATGCTAGAAATATCAACAGCAATATAAATAATAAACTCTTGCTATATTTCTGTGATCCCCTGGGCATTTTTCACCACTCTATTAATTCACTTTCATTTGTCGATTTTTTTTTAATTAATTACTTTAATTATTGTAATTTAATAATATTCGCTTTTACTTTTTTTAAGTTTTATTAAAATTATATAAAAATTTGCACTGAATTCCTCATAATTTTGAAAAATAAAATTCATATAAAAATTCTTTTTAGGCAAAAAAATTCTAAAAATATGCACTTTTTTCGCGTATACAAAAAAAATATGTGTGAGTGTTTGTGTCTTGTGTATTTGAATTTGTATTTTCTTGATATCCGTTCGGTTCGAAATTATCGCTGTAACTAAAAATTACACTGTCTAATATTCGCACAAGTTGTGCCAAAATATTGCACAAATGTTTCTGTCAAAATCTTGTCAAAAGTTTTGTGTGTCTACAAAATGCATTTTGAAATTTCGAAAAATATCTGCTTGACTGTCAAGTTGTGAGTGTGCGAAGATGGGTAGTGTCTTCTAGTAAAAAAGTTGTTTAGAATCTGATAAACTTTATACTTGAAAAGTTATTCAGAATCCGATCAACTTTTTCCTGGAATATGAACTTTTTACTAGAAAAGTTGATCAGAATCTGAACAATTTTTTACTAGAAAAGTTGATCAGAATCTGAACAATTTTTTTCTAGAAAAGTTGATCAGAATCTGAAAGTAAAAAAGTTGTTTAGAATCTGATAAACTTTTTACTAGAAAAGTTATTCAGAATCCGATCAACTTTTTTCTAGAATCTGAACATTTTACTAGAATATGAACTTTTTACTAGAAAAGTTGATCAGAATCTGAACACTTTTTTACTAGAAAAGTTGATCAGAATCTGAACAACTTTTTACTAGAAAAGTTGATCAGAATCTGAACAACTTTTTACTAGAAAAGTTGATCAGAATCTGAACAACTTTTTACTAGAAAAGTTGATCAGAATCTGAACAACTTTTTACTAGAAAAGTTGATCAGAATCTGAACAACTTTTTATTTGAAAAGTTGATTAGAATCTGAACAACTTTTTACTAGAAAAGTTGATAAGAATCTGAACAACTTTTTACTAGAAAAGTTGATAAGAATCTGAACAACTTTTTACTAGAAAAGTTGATAAGAATCTGAACAACTCTTTAATAGAAAAGTTGATCAGAATCTGAACCACTTTTTACTAGAAAAGTTGATCAGAATCTGAACCACTTTTTACTAGAAAAGTTGATCAGAATCTGAACCACTTTTTACTAGACTTTTTACTAGAAAAGTTGATCAGAATCTGAAGAACTTTTTACTAGAAAAGTTGATCAGAATCTGAACAACTTTTTACTAGAAAAGTTGATCAGAATCTGAATAACTTTTTACTAGAAAAGTTGATCAGAATCTGAACCACTTTTTACTAGAAAAGTTGATCAGAGTCGGAACAACTTTTTACTAGAAAAGTTGATCAGAATCTGAACAACTTTTTACTAGAAAAGTTGATCAGAATCTGAACAACTTTTTACTAGAAAAGTTGATCAGAATCTGAACAACTTTTTACTAGAAAAGTTGATCAGAATCTGAACAATTTTTTACTAGAAAAGTTGATCAGAATCTGAAAAATAAAAAAGTTGTTTAGAATCTGATAAACTTTTTGCTAGAAAAGTTATTCAGAATTCGATCAACTTGTTTCTAGAATCTGAACATTTTACTAGAAAAGTTGATCAGAATCTGAACAACTTTTTACTAGAAAAGTTGATCAGAATCTGAACAACTTTTTACTAGAAAAGTTGATCAGAATCTGAACAACTTTTTACTAGAAAAGTTGATCAGAATCTGAACAACTTTTTACTAGAAAAGTTGATCAGAATCTGAACAACTTTTTACTAGAAAAGTTGATCAGAATCTGAACAACTTTTTACTAGAAAAGTTGATCAGAATCTGAACAACTTTTTACTAGAAAAGTTGATCAGAATCTGAACAACTTTTTACTAGAAAAGTTGATCAGAATCTGAACAACTTTTTACTAGAAAAGTTGATCAGAATCTGAACAACTTTTTACTAGAAAAGTTGATCAGAATCTGAACCACTTTTTACTAGAAAAGTTGATCAGAATCTGAACAACTTTTTACTAGAAAAGTTGATCAGAATCTGAATAACTTTTTACTAGAAAAGTTGATCAGAATCTGAACCACTTTTTACTAGAAAAGTTGATCAGAGTCGGAACAACTTTTTACTAGAAAAGTTGATCAGAATCTGAAAAATAAAAAAAGTTGTTTAGAATCTGATAAACTTTTTGCTAGAAAAGTTATTCAGAATTCGATCAACTTGTTTCTAGAATCTGAACATTTTACTAGAAAAGTTGATCAGAGTCGGAACAACTTTTTACTAGAAAAGTTGATCAGAATCTGAACAACTTTTTACTAGAAAAGTTGATCAGAATCTGAACAACTTTTTACTAGAAAAGTTGATCAGAATCTGAACAACTTTTTACTAGAAAAGTTGATCAGAATCTGAACAACTTTTTACTAGAAAAGTTGATCAGAATCTGAACAACTTTTTACTAGAAAAGTTGATCAGAATCTGAACAACTTTTTACTAGAAAAGTTGATCAGAATCTGAACAACTTTTTACTAGAAAAGTTGATCAGAATCTGAACAACTTTTTACTAGAAAAGTTGATCAGAATCTGAACCACTTTTTACTAGAAAAGTTGATCAGAATCTGAACCACTTTTTACTAGAAAAGTTGATCAGAATATGAACCACTTTTTACTAGAAAAGTTGATCAGAATCTGAACCACTTTTTACTAGAAAAGTTGATCTGAATCTGAACCAATTTTTACTAGAAAAGTTGATCAGAATCTGAACCACTTTTTACTAGAAGAGTTGATCAGAATCTGAACCACTTTTTACTAGAAAAGTTGATCAGAATCTGAACCACTTTTTACTAGAAGAGTTGATCAGAATCTGAACCACTTTTTACTAGAAAAGTTGATCAGAATCTAAACAACTTTTTACTAGAAAAGTTGATCAGAATCTGAACTACTTTGATCAGAATCTGAACAACTTTTTACTATAAAAGTTGATCAGAATCTAAACAACATTTTACTATAAAAGTTGTTCAAAATTAGATAAACTTTTTTATAGAAAAGTTGTTTAGAATATTGTCTCGTTAAAATCTTTATCTTTTTTTGTCCAAAATATATCTTTTATAATTTATTGAAAATGAAAAAGGCAACTGCATTAATTTGTGCTTTTTATATTCATTTCAAGCGATTCCAATATTTATTGGATTTAAAAAAAAGGAACAAATTAAAATATTACATAAAAATATTAAAATTTTGTGGTAAAAGAACAATAATATTAAAAAAACATAAAACTTCACTCCAAAGTTATGCAGAAATCTTATTAAAATGCTAAAATATTTTTAAAAGAAAATCAATAATAAAAAAATTAATAAACTACACATTAAAACAATAAAAACATCAATAATAAGATACATGCACATTAAAGAAAAAAATATTAAAATTTACGAAACCGATCAAGTGATCTTTAAGTAGACAAACCAAAATTATTTTGAGGAATGGACATAAATTGTCCAGGAGCCAAAGTAAAGGAAGGAGCTATAGATGCTGGCATATTGGTAAAATAGGAAGGTTGTGTTTGTACTTGCTGTTGTTGTTGGTGTTGAGACGTTACAGCAAAGTATTGTTGCTGATGTTGTTGTGGTAAATGCTGCGGTGCTTGATGATATTGCATTAGGCAAGCAACATTATTTGTGGTTACAGCTGGTACGGATGCATGATAATTACTTTGAAATTTCGCCAGCTGATCGGGTACTTGTGTAGCTGCAGGTGTTTGGACCATGGTAGTATTTAAACAAACCTCGGGCTGTTTTATGGATTCGTTATAAGAACAACCAGTTAACCATAGGGGTGGTGATAATATACGCTGAGCCGGATGATAATATTTGCAACCACCAAATTGTATATGACTTAGATTGTGGCTGACCACCGAACGAGATTGTGTCAAAGCCACTGGCAGTAGCTGCAATGAAACATAACGTAAACCCTCAAAGATTTGTTTAAAAGCGCAAACGGCAAAAGGCATATAAGGGCGTGTGGGTAGAGATACATTGGTGCCAGTGGCTTTAAAACATAAAGCCATTACAATTTGTGTATCATTGAGATTGTACTTCAAGGGAGGTTTATTGCGGTATTTTGGCATAATGGTTCCAAATATACGATGCGGTATTAAAGGCCAATTTTGCAAATAAGTGCAATCGCTATGCGTCAGAAAACTTTCTTTATAGGCATTCAAAAGGGTCTCCTCAGAAATGGGGGCTAAAGATATAGCAGCCCAACTAAGATCCAAGATTTCAGTCAAGTCAAAATTCAATTCAGAGGGTACACCACAAGCTGCCACAAACTCCACATTATGTAAATTAAGAGAAACCATGCCCACTAAAGAAGAGACAAAAATTAACAAAATTTCTTTATCAAACTAAAACAAAAACTTACACAAATGTGCCACATCTTTTTCGACTTGAAAAACATAATTATAACTCGGAAAACCACCAACAGATTCTATCAAAACGCACACCACTTCACACATGCGTGAATGTATGTCCACCAATTCATTGGAATTTAATATACAGAAAGTAGCACGAACATTTCCCAAGGAATCACGTAATACTACCATGCCATATTGCACACGTTCCTGTTCATAATAACAACCAAAAATTATGACCGGAATATGCCAACCATTCGCAATACATTTTAATCTCAATACAGCATCAAAATCTTTGTTACGCATGCGATGCAAAGATTGTCTATGTTAAAAAAGGAATTAATTTAATTCATAAGTAGTTGTTATTTTTGTTTCAAAACTTACTGTTCTGAAGGCTTTGCCCATTCTAGGTCCAATCGTTTTCCTCTTAGTATGATGCCTTGTAATTCTTTTAGGCAATATTCGGCCGCTTCACGGGACGTAAAATCGAAGAAGGCAGTAGTACGTACTTTGGAAATTTTGCGTATTGCCGTACGTGGAACATGTTTTACCAACAAATCAATGATGTCACTACTATTCACAGTTAGATCCACATTTCGTACAAATAGGGTTTTGGACTAAAAGAAAATTGTAAAAAAATTCTCTGAAGTAGTTTTCTATTGAAAACATGTTCACTTTCAAATTCTGATCAACTTTTCTAGTAAAAAGTTGTTCAGATTCTGATCAACTTTCTAGTAAAAAGTGTTCATATTCTGATCAACTTTTCTAGTAAAAAGTTGTTCAGATTCTGATCAACTTTTCTAGTAAAAAGTTGTTCAGATTCTGATCAACTTTTCTAGTAAAAAGTTGTTCAGATTCTGATCAACTTTTCTAGTAAAAAGTTGTTCAGATTCTGATCAACTTTTCTAGTAAAAAGTTGTTCAGATTCTGATCAACTTTTCTAGTAAAAAGTTGTTCAGATTCTGATCAACTTTTCTAGTAAAAAGTTGTTCAGATTCTGATCAACTTTTCTAGTAAAAAGTTGTTCAGATTCTGATCAACTTTTCTAGTAAAAAGTTGTTCAGATTCTGATCAACTTTTCTAGTAAAAAGTTGTTCAGATTCTGATCAACTTTTCTAGTAAAAAGTTGTTCAGATTCTGATCAACTTTTCTAGTAAAAAGTTGTTCAGATTCTGATCAACTTTTCTAGTAAAAAGTTGTTCAGATTCTGATCAACTTTTCTAGTAAAAAGTTGTTCAGATTCTGATCAACTTTTCTAGTAAAAAGTTGTTCAGATTCTGATCAACTTTTCTAGTAAAAAGTTGTTCAGATTCTGATCAACTTTTCTAGTAAAAAGTTGTTCAGATTCTGATCAACTTTTCTAGTAAAAAGTTGTTCAGATTCTGATCAACTTTTCTAGTAAAAAGTTGTTCAGATTCTGATCAACTTTTCCAGTAAAAAGTTGTTCAGATTCTGATCAACTTTTCTAGTAAAAAGTTGTTCAGATTCTGATCAACTTTTCTAGTAAAAAGTTGTTCAGATTCTGATCAACTTTTCTAGTAAAAAGTTGTTCAGATTCTGATCAACTTTTCTAGTAAGAAGTTGTTCAGATTCTGATCAACTTTTCTAGTAAAAAGTTGTTCAGATTCTGATCAACTTTTCTAGTAAAAAGTTGTTCAGATTCTGATCAACTTTTCTAGTAAAAAGTTGTTCAGATTCTGATCAACTTTTCTAGTAAAAAGTTGTTCAGATTCTGATCAACTTTTCTAGTAAAAAGTTGTTCAGATTCTGATCAACTTTTCTAGTAAAAAGTTGTTCAGATTCTGATCAACTTTTCTAGTAAAAAGTTGTTCAGATTCTGATCAACTTTTCTAGTAAAAAGTTGTTCAGATTCTGATCAACTTTTCTAGTAAAAAGTTGTTCAGATTCTGATCAACTTTTCTAGTAAAAAGTTGTTCAGATTCTGATCAACTTTTCTAGTAAAAAGTTGTTCAGATTCTGTTCAACTTTTCTAGTAAAAAGTTGTTCAGAATCTGATCAACTTTTCTAGTAAAAAGTTGTTCAGATTCCGATCAACTTTTCCAGTAAAAAGTTGTTCAGATTCCGATCAACTTTTCCAGTAAAAAATTGTTCAAATTCTGATCAACTTTTCTAGTAAGAAGTTGTTCAGATCTGATCAACTATTCTAGTAAAAAAGTTGTTCAGATCTGATCCACTTCTTTTCTAGTAAAAAAGTTGTTCAGATTCTAAACAACTTTTTATCAGAAAAAATTTATCTGGGATTATGACCACTTTTTGTAGTAAAAAGTCGTTCAGGAACCGATCAATTTCGGGAATATTGAAATGAAAGAAATACTTTAGAACTTACCGATTTTGACATGTCACTATCTTTTTCGGTATTAGCCCAAACCACCTTCAAATCACGTCCCCACATGCGAACCAAGCCGGGCGTAATACATTTCTTAGCTTCTAAAGCATGCATATGGGTAGCAAAGTGTACGAAAACATGACCCCGATTACCTAAACCAGCTCCCACCGATGAAGTTCCCGCCTGCTGTTGTTGCATTGCTCCATCAACACCAGCATTATAATTACCATCATTTGAGTTGGTGGCCGATGAAGGACGTATATAAATCCGTTGCATAGTAGGAAATATCGTACGAAGACTTTCCTCAATTTCTGATTCTTCCAAATGTTTAGGTATATTGCTTACAAATAGACGGCACTTTTCGTATGAATGTAATATTTCCAGTTTACGTCCGGGGAAAACGTAATAATGATTAAGGACCTCCATGGCACTGGAGGCATCTTCTTCGTTGGTGTATTTAACATAGGCATAACCACGATTAGCTTGATTAAAGTCCAAAGGTAAACGAAATTCGTAGATTTGACCAAAACGTAAAAAGGGAGCTAGAAGTTTGTTTTCATTCAAGTCTTTGGGTATGCGGCGCACAAATAATTCACAGACACTGGAGGGAGGAGGACCAACCCAATCTTCGGGTGGTCCAAGGACTTTGCGTCCATTTATTTGCATTAATTCTACGCTTGGAGTAGAACAAGACATACCTGAGGACGACTGACCTTCTGATAGGGGAGGCTCATAATTTTGAGCCACATTGTCATGCGCAATAATATCAGGAATAACTTGGTGCGAAGGTATATACTCCATTTGATTTTGGGGATAGATATTTAGTTGAGGAAAATTGTTGGTGGACATTTTCTGGTTAGTTTTTTAATATTTTATGGATTTAATTTGGTAAATTGAGCAAATTTAGTCGAGCTTGTTGAGTTTTGCTGCCTCAGAAAAAAGTCCGTTGAAATTTACCAGTGTTGTCCATTATCTACTGGAATTTTCTTTTTAAACTTATATAAAGCATTGCCAGGTTTAGATTTTGTGCTAAAGAGTTGCCAGAGTTAAGTTTAATTATAATTATTTTTAATTTAAAAAATGTATAAAATATTTAAATTTAAAATGTTGTAAAATATTCTGAATTATTATATTTTTATAAAACGTATAAATTTATGTGACTTCAAACTCTTAACAGTTATTTTTATTATGTTGAATGGCACACCCTGCTTATTTCTTTACCTTTGGTGTTATCATTCCTTTGTGATTGCCACTATGCACAAAGCTTTTATATATTTGACACACCCGGTTAAACAATGACAAAAAGTACCGTTGCTCATTATGGTTGACAGTCAGAAACCATTTTAAAAATTATTTCGTAGAAAATTCATGAATGAAATAGTGTAAAAGTGTTTTGTGCCGGAAAATTTATTAAAAAATGTGAAATAAAGTGTAAAAGGACAAAAATAACTAGAATTTCAATAAAAATATTAAGTGCTAACAACAAAAACAATGTTTTCCTACTATCATGATTGTTACAAAGGCACCGCTGCCTACAATGACGCCACCGCCATGCCGGTGATTTTAGAAAATGGACGCAAAGTTTTTGGTCCTCCCCACAAATTTACGGGACCACGGCCTTCACATGTGTGTGAATTGTATGTGACGCGTATTCCCTCACAATTGGATGAATTAGGCTTCCTTGTATGGCTGCATCGCATTGGCCCTGTGTATGCGTTCCGCCTAATGATGGATACAGGCAATACCACTCGCGGTTATGCCTTTGTGCGTTTCTGCAGCGAAAAGCATGCTCTGGCTGCTTTCGAACTATTGAAATATCTCTTTGTCAATGGCGAACGTTTGAGTGTCTTCCGTTCTCAGGGCAAAAATCGCCTATTTGTTAGTGGCATACCTCGACAATTGCCGTTATCATGCCTAGAAGATGGTTTTAAACTGTGCTTTCCCAATATGCAAAGTTGCACTGCATATCCGGCCTTGAAAAATCATAAATTTATGGTGGGACGGGAGAATGAAGAAAATCGTGGTTTTGCCTTTATAGAATTTGAAGATCATGAGGTGGCTTTGGCGGCCAAGAAGCGTTTAAATACTGGACGTATTGGCATGTGGGGTGCTGATCTGAAAATACAATGGGCCAAACCTAAAGAAGAAATGCAAGTAGCTATTGGTTTGAAGGTAAGTTTGTATTGGATTTTTAGTAAAAAAAATTGTTTTAAATATTGTTTCTTTTGATTTTTTTTTTTTCTTAAAGAAATGTCATGAGAGCCCTATGCGTTCCAGGTGAGTTTTACTCCTAAGAATACCTTTAATATAGTATTAGGATAAAAGTAAAACCTAACCTAGAAATTTTCAAAATTACCTCAATAAAAAAGTTGGATCAGATTCTGAACAAGTTTACAATAGAAAAGTTGATAAGTTTTTGGACAACTTTTCGTTTGAAAAGCTGATCTCATTTTGAACAACTTTTCGATAGAAAATTTGAATCTGAAGAACTTTTCTATTGCAAAGTTATTTAGAATCAATAAACAAATTTCTTAGAGTAAAGTTATTAAGCTTCTAAACAAGTTTTCAATAGTTTAGTTTATCAATTATTAAAGAAGTTTTACTTAATAATCAAAATTTCTTACTTCTAATTTTAGACTCTATCCCCACTTATATCAACCCAATGATTATTGTGCCAAATTACGTCTCTACTGTTTAGCCAACAATTTATGCATACCAGTGGTTTTATATGGACCCAGTTTTCGCCTTTTTCAACTACAATACGCTGGTGTAAGTCCAGTATCAAATACAATCTTTCTTTCAATTTAACTCTAAATTTCTTTTTAAATATAATTTTTAGGTCCTTATTAAAAATAGTTTTACCGGTCAGTATTCCTATTTTATATTTGAAATAGTGGTGTCGAAAATATGTGACATTCACTTGTTAATTTGTGAAATTGCTGTTAAAATGATTGAGGAGTGTAGCGGTGAATTGCAGCAAAATGCCTTATTTCGCGTTCTAAATGATTCTAAAGCGGAGTTGGGTAAGTTTTTCAAAAATTTTCTTTATAATTTTTTTATTAAAAATTAGGAATTGACTACAAAGTGTACAGTGAACACTATTAACACGATTTATGCATAATTGTACTATGAAATACAATTCGGAAAAATATACAATTTATTAAGAATTTGAATTTCTGCAAAAACTAAAGGACGTATTACAGCATTCATGATTAAATTTAATGTATCTAATTTTTATGGACTTTATGGTATTTGATATTAAAAATATTTTGTTTTTTGATACGTTAACGTAACGAAATCAGTAGTCCCGTTTTAGATTTCAAATTTCATTGAAGAGTTTTTTTGTTATGAACGAAAGGGGCTTAATTATCACTGAAAATTACAAATACTTTATAAATCTAAAACTATATAAAAGATATTAACACGAAAAATGTTTTGTATTATATAAAATTATAATATTTCCATTATTATAGTAGTGTACAAGGGTCGCCCATAGGTTTGTTTAGATTCTTAAACAAAAGCAGTACTGTTTGACCGAACATTGTCCGAACACTTGCCATATTTTCGTTTTTTCTAATAAATTTTTAAAAAAGTTTTATGAAAAATTAGATTCTCATAAAAATGGCCTTTTTAGTGAAAAACTGAATTTTAAGCAAAAATAAACTTTTTTATTGAAAACTATCTAATCTTATAATCTTGGATTCAAAATTAAAATATTTTTGAAGTAATTTTTTTTTTTTTTTTGTGGAAAATCAAATTCTCTTTAATGAAACAGATTTTTAGTGAATATAAAAATTTTAAGAGGAACATCGATGTTTTAGTGAAAATTCATGTTTAAAAAATTATGTAAAAAATGGTTTTGTTTTTTTTTTTTGGTTTTTATTAATTTCATAGATATTGCATTTAAACTAAAATATTGAGAATAGTTAGTATATAGTCCAGACTATAGTCAGTCTATAATCCAGACAACAGTCAGTCTATAGTCCAGAATAAAGGAAATCAGGATATAATAATTTTATCAATTAACGTCCCCATTTTTTTCTAACATTTTTTTCTACTAACCCCCTTTTTTTGATTTATTTTTCAAAATTGACCCTTTTATTTATTTTTTTTGTTTATTTTTTATCCCCTTTTTTTTCTCTCTCAATATTTTAGTTTATACCTTTAAACATTATGATGAATTGAAATCAATAAAAATACAAAATCAATTTCAATATAAAAATGTCATAATTGAACTTGCCGCTTCAATGCAATTATTGGGACAACAAAATCACGAAAAATTACTTTTACTCTATAAACGTTCCTTTCTAACACATCAATCCGTGGCAACATTCTGTTTGGATGTAAATAATCCTTTAACGCAATACTGTGCCGTTTTACCAAAATTTCGTAATAATACAAAATTAAATAATAATTTCAATGATATGGAAATAACACTATTATTAATGATGCCATTATCACAAGCAAAGCAGCCAAATGAGTTATTAAATTTTAAGAATTTTGATAAAAATGTTGAAGGTATAATGCTACAGAGCATGCAGCAACAAGGAGAACATCAAATGCAGCAGCAGCAACATACACAGCTTCAGAGTGTTAAGAAATGTCCTTGTTTTACTTTAAAATCACAACATGGCAGTTATGGCATTAAATATACATTACGTTATGTCGACATAATTGGTGTGGAACTAAGGGAATGTTACCATCCTCAACAACGTGTTAATTCGAATCCCATTTGGATTGCTGGTCAATCATATCAACAAACAATTTATAACTGAGAAGAAGACCAATAACACAAAAGAAAATGGAAAAATATTGAAAGAACGAAATTCACTTTTAGTTTTCCTCTTTAGAAATGAAACAGAATTATTTATTTATTTTATGTTTTTTTTTTTCACTCAACAATGGAAACGGTTTGATTTTCCTTTTTATTATGTTTATTATGACTTTTTTATTATTTAATAATTGTGTGGTTTGTATGTTTGTTTTTATATTGTTAAAATCCAGCTTATTTTATAGTTATTAAGTTCAATTTTACATCAAAATATGTATGAAGAAATAACTTTTTTTTGTTATAATTATTTTTTATTTTATCCTTTTTTTTTTTGCTATTCAAAAGACATTAACTGATTATTAGGTTTCACTTTTTTTATCGAGTTATTACAGTTATCTTACTTTATTATGTATTCCATTGGTACTTTTTGATCTATCAATAAAAATAATTACAACGTTTACTAATCATGATTTGTTTTTCTTTTATACTGCAAAAATTATTATTAAATTAGATTTTTCGTTCATTGTTATTCTACCGTAAAATTTGATTTTTCACAAAACAATCGATGTTTCAACAAGATTTGATTTTCCACAAAAAAATATATTTATTTCACTAAAAATTCCATTCTTCTTCATTAGATTTTGCACCAAAAAATTTGTTTACCATAAATTCGATTATTTCACTACAAAACTATGTTTTACCAAAAATAGTCGATAGTCTGCTGTAGTTAGTCTATAGTCCAGATTACAGTCAGTCGATAGTCGAGACTAAAGTTAGTCTATAGTCCAGAATATAGTCAGTCTATAGTCCAGACTATAGTCAGTGTATAGTCCAGACTATAGTCAGTCTATAGTCCAGACTATAGTCTGTCTATAGTCCAGACTATAGTCAGTCTATAGTCCAGTCTATAGTCCAGACTATAGTCAGTCTATAGTACAGACTATAGTCAGTCTATAGTACAGACTATAGTCAGTCTATAGTCCAGACTATAGTCAGTCTATAGTCCAGACTATAGTCAGTCTATAGTCCAGACTATAGTCAGTCTATAGTCCAGACTATAGTCAGTCTATAGTCCAGTCTATAGTCCAGACTATAGTCAGTCTATAGTACAGACTATAGTCAGTCTATAGTCCAGACTATAGTCAGTCTATAGTCCAGACTATAGTCAGTCTATAGTCCAGACTATA